TGCATGAAGATTTTTCGACTCAGTGTATTTGTTGTGATTCTCTGCCTATGAGATTTCTTCTTTTTTCTGTTTGCCTTATCATATCCATAATGTAATGATTTTTTTTTTGTGGTTTTTGTGTAATTGCAACCAACTTTGACTTTATTAAATGTAAAAATCTTGTATGCAAACCTTTTGAATCCGCTGAAGAAGTTAAAAATTTCCCTGAATTCGTATGTTTGTGCCCCGATGCAGGCGTTCATGCTTCTTGTTGATTCGCTTAAAGCTTCCTGGTACTGTCATTTTGTCTAAGAAATACTCATGCCTTTCTCTTGCCACATTTTTGCTTTGTTCTCCGCTGTGGCATACCCGATAACTTCATATTGCAACAAACTTTTATGAAGTTTTATGTGTAACTTTTTATTTATTTCGGTGTTCTTTTTAATATTTTTTCCCTTTGATTTTGGTAAGGATTCCCCGTAAGTGGCTTGCATAGTTGAGAAGTCGCTTAATAAATTTGCTTTTGTCATAACAAAGGTTAAGTGACACGCAATGAGCTGCAAAAGTGCACTTTTCTGTTAAGAGCAGTAAAAAACTGGCGGTGGATGGAAATATTTAACTTGTTACTTTTATACTATTTTATTTTATAACTTTTATTGTGTTTTATTATTTGTATTATTTTTTTATGCTCTCATGTTTTTGTTCGGCATTGTAAGTTGGAAAAGTTGATAGTTTTGTAACAGCTTAAGTGGGCATTTTACGATGTAAGCGTCTGCTTACTTCAAGGCACTTCTACAAGTGCTGCTACTTCCGCTTCATCTGTAGCTCCAACTTCTCCAACTTCTCCACTTACTCCTCCAGGATCTTTTTTTATTTTTGTTATTAATTTCAGAAGCGGCTTGTGAAGAATATTTCAGTAATGTTTGTGGTTTTTTATTATGGGTCTTAAGTCTTTATGTTATTAAAAAAAAACTATAAAAAGTGCTTAAAGCAATCGAACAAATTTCTTGAAGCTATGGGTTTTTATGTGAAACGTTTGTTCAGTTAATACTGGTATATGAAGTACATACATTTCTTAAGTGAGAAATTTCATTGGTGTTTAATGAGTTTAAGCTATAGAAGCAATTCACGAAAAAAGGCACGATGAAATTCTTTTATATTCATAGGTTTACTATATTTGATTAATGCTGCGTTTGAAAAAAAATATTGCAAAACTGAAAAAAAAATATAGTAAGGAAAATATGCTATTTTGTTAAAGTAATGTCTCACAAGTCATTGGTTACAAGAGCAGGAATTACACTTCAAAGCTTGAAGTACATATACTACACTATTATTGTAATCGATTCTTATGTTTGGTAGTGTACACTTAAACACTATTTCCTTAATCCATAATATGTTTGTAATTTTGTGTTTTTCTTTATTTGTTACATAGTTTAACATAGAAGTAAGAGTCAATTAGTCGGTACGTACCATAGAACTTAAGTCAAAGCGAAATGCACAACCAACCACACCTTTATATATGATAAGAACAAAATAAACAAAAGCAGCGAACTTAGAAACAAAATTCAATTAGGTTCTACACGTAAGCGAATTTAAGGCTCAGTTAGTCGGTACGTACCGTAAGAACTTAAGTCAAAGCGAAATGCACAACCAACCACATCTGTGTTTTTGATAGGAATGAAATAAATAAAGTTCCTATACTGCAATAGATGTTTTGTTTGCATGACAAGTTGACATACACCCTCCATATGGCCCTTTCTTGAAAGCTACAATAATATATGCTGCAAAACATTCCTCACGTATATATAAAGTTATGCATTGGCTCTACAACCCACCTAGGATAAGCACAGCGCATACTGTTGGTATTGTACTGGACATATAACATATGTAAGTAATGTCTTTGACGACTTTTGTGATTTATATATTCAGTTGGGTTTTGTCTTTATGTTTAGAGGTCACACCACTATAGAGTTGTAAACTCATATATTATATTGAAACTGTTCTCGAAACATGACACCCATTAATATATGTATGCAGACTGTTACTTGTTGGTGCAACATATGCGTGACTTAAGTAGACTTAGACTTATTGTCCAATAAGTGGTGCAACGCTGATATTGTTGAATGCTGTTTGTGGTTTATCTGTAGTTTTGGATATGAATGTACTGGTTTTCTATGTTTTAATGGATACTTCTGCATGATTAGCAATTTTATAGAGCCTATATGAGTCACAGTACCTTTTATACTGGTACAGTGACTACTAATGTTAGTCCTAATAAGCGACCTTAATACGATCATGTCACAATTACTAAGTTATCTAGGCTAAGTGGTAAGACTCTTTATTTTATTGGCTTATATCTTTAAAGTTACTAAGTTAAAAACTTGCAAAAATATCTATCTTTGGCGAACTTACTTTGATTCAAGAAAAATTTCAAGAGAACTGTTGTATTAAGTAGCTTTTGCTGTTGGAAGCAATACGCCATTAAACCTAAAAGTAATGACACTGTTCTATTTAGAAGCCTATTTAGGCTTAGTAAATTATACAAAGTAACTTTAAAATAATTTTTTTTATTAATTATCCATAAAACTCACAATAATTACTTTAAAGAAAATTTGTTTAATATTCTTACTAAAAATTCTATTACAATAAATGGTCAATGGAATAAATAACAAATTTGAATCAATTTAAAACCAATTAAATCAGTTTTTGTGAAATCATTTTGTGTTTCAAATTATTTATTTTTCTTATCTGTATGTTGGAATATATGCGTTATTTAGTTATTGAAATTGTGGTCCACATTTGCAATCATAGTTTCAGATACATTTTGCATGTCAGTTTTACATTCCAACATTTTTGTTTCAAATTTACTCAAGCGTTGGAAAATAATTTTCGAGTTAATGAATTTTTATCAATAACAAAAACATAAATACCAAAAACAAACCAAATAAAATTTTACACACATTTTTAAAGCAATTGATTATGATGTGATAGCTTGAGGCAGTATCATTGATCCTGGACAGAAAAACTTTGTTATTAAATTTAAGCAAAATGAAAAGCAAATAAATTTTAGCGAATATAGGTAGGCGACTTAAGAAATGAATTGACTTCATATTAGAAATTGAGAGCATATTCAATTATATTTTTATAAAGACTCTTGCAAAATTATATTATTGCTAGACAAATATCTAAACAATAAATATTTGCAATATTATTCAATAATCAGGAACGTGAAGTACTTTTTTTGCTCAGTTACCGAGCTCGTTATATACTTATTGACTTCTACGAAACCGGGTTGGTTGTCTGAATTAACATCTAAAAAGACAGGTTCAAATCTTTTTCTATAAATGGTGGGGTGTTTCCTTTTTGGAGTTAGGCTCTAAGCCCGATAGTTGCGTTCAAAGAAAATAGTATAGAACCTACTTTACAGAGTTTTATTGCCTCTTCCGTTAGAGTTTACATAGCCAGGAGTCTACTCCATATTAGCATTAGCGAAAGGAATTCTAACAACACCTGTGTTGACATTCATATATATGTCTAGTCCTCTAAGGTGATACCATATTTTACAGTGTCCTATTAAGATTCCTGTCATGATTCTAAGTTTTTCTTTTGATAAGACTATACAATCCTTTTATTATATGTACCAATAAGTGATTTGGATTGTGGTAATATAGGTAGATTATCCCAGTTATTCATTTTGTTCTGGTTTTCCTTAATTTTTATGAGAGAAAGTAGAGTACTGTTGTCTAATTTTTAGAAAGATTCTGGTCCCATCGGTAAAGCTGCTCCTTTACTGTGTAGTTTGTCTGCGTATATGTTTCCGCTTATGCTAGCATTTCCCGATTTGATTCGCCGAAAAGCTGAATTTGGCTTTTCAAGGCACTAGTCTTGAAATCAACTGATGCGATTATAGTGTTTTACGTTTCATTTTGCCAGATAAATGAACCATATAAGATGAGGTGTGATGGTGTGATTGGGTCGAATAGCGCCAATGTACTATTTTTGATGTACAACACCAACTTCAAGAGGGTTGGGAGGTCAAGAAGAAAGCCTGGTTTTTGATCGAAATTTTTGCCCAAGAATTTAACCGTTTTCTTTATTTCTACCTCAATTCCATGGTAGACCCTTACTAGTGCATATTTCTGCCTTCCTAGTGAGGACCATGTTCCTTTTCCACCGTGCCAGAATAGAGTTTATTCTTCTGTTTATCAAAAGAAATATGCGTTGTTACATCAGTTTTAATATTTTTGATGTGCTTTTTAGAATCTTCAGAACCTAATATTATTATGTAGCTCCTCGATTGAGATACTGTTGTCATTGTCGTCAATGATATTGTTGTTATTATTGTTGATATGTTTGTCATTATAATTGTTGTCATTAGTATCACTATTATTTATTATATCGTCAGCATCGTCAAGTATATAAAACTCATTTGAGCTCCTCTTATCCCGAGGTGACATTTTGGAAAACAAGCTCACAAATATAAATCATTAATTTATATTAATATGTTATGTTCACAATAAATATAAAATATGCAATATATTTGGTTTTATAGCTTAAGCGGGTATTATTATTAAGCGGGTATTACTAACGAAATCATTCGTTGACAGTTAACTAGAAATTTTGTATGTACTTCCAAAAATCGTTCACAATAGACGAAATTTTATCTTGGCAACCATACGATTTGAGCTGCTTATTAGATAAGTGATTTCAAAAAGGTTGGATTAAATAAGTCAGCAGTGTTGTTTTTGTATATATTATTTTTAATATAAGCAGTTGTTCGTTTCAAATATGCTTACAAAGGAAAAGGCCTGTTGAAAGTCCGCAAATGAATTACACATACTAAAAAATTGTGGATAACTTAAATACAATTGTATACATATTTATTAATTAAATATATATAATTTTGATTCTCGTCATATAGGTAAGCAGCTGTTTTAAGAAAATAAGTAAAGTTTATGCTTTTAAAATTTTATTTGTAACATAAAATTTCTATACAAATTACCAATGAGAATTTATTTTTTATTGTTTACAATATTGTTAAAAAAATTAGAAAATTATGTGATTATGATTTCCTCTTAAAACATATGCAGAAGTTCTCTAAATAACTCTAAATTCCGGTTAGAAGCTGGAGGAAGTTTCACCACTTTCATCAAATCCTTTTTCCTGAAATAATTATACTATAAGTAGATACTCACAACTATTTATTTAATAGTAATATAAAATATTACATAAACTTACGCTCTGCCATGAACTGCCGCTTATGGAACCATGCGGAGTTGAACAAAGAATGTTTTGGTTTTTAAAGAAAATCTGATATTCACTCAAATCGGAAGCATCTGGATCAAATTTCGCAGCTTTTTGAAAATATTCTGAAAAGTCACTAATTTTAATGCGGCGTAAAGCTTCGCAGAATTCTTCCTCGTCTTCTGGTTCCACGTCCCTTCAAATAAATTATAGTTTGGTAGTTATATAAACTTAAAAATCATTGCAACTTACATGAAAAGAGGATCTTCGCTGAATAATTGAAAATGTATGGGCCTTCTCTTTTCGAAAAAAAAGAACTCTCCGTCTGTCATTGCTGCAAGTTTATCATTTACACGGCGTTGCGACTTCGTGAGACTAATTACATCTACAATATATTTTATGAATGTTATAATATATTCTTATTGGCTTGATTATGATTTTTTGGACGCTGGTATTTGACAACGAATTAATGAAAATGCAGTATTCAGAGCAACTATTTCAGCTACACTAACATATGTGTACTTTTCAAGTGTATTAAAGTGACAGATGGCGTCATCTGTTGGTGTTTGTTTTCTTATTGAAAAATGTCGCAGTTTACAGCAGATCTAATATAATATGCAGGTTGTGATTGAACATTTTTTAGGTGGTCTACATTTTTCTATGATTATTTTGACATTTCACTAGAAAATTTGTTTTTTTTACTCATAAATGAATCCATACTCTTAAGCGGTTTGAGTTTCCATTGCAATTAACCCCAGGCTAAACTTTAAAAATTTTGGAAAAAAGTGGGCTCGTAAAGATCAGCCTGGTATAGACACTTTATTAGAGTCAACTAATATATTTTCTTACATTGGTGATTAACCTCAACCACTGCATATATATATATATATATATATATATATTATATATTATATATATATAAAGATCAGCCTGACATAGACTTTATTAGAGTCAACTAATATATTTTCTTACATGTGATTAACCTCAACCACTGGATATATATATATATATTAAAATTTTCAGATATTAGTATATATATATAGTATTTATTCTAAATACGATTATAGACTAATTAGTATTCGTCTATAATCGTAAATCTGGTTTTACTACCCATGAAGCATCTATGCAATTGCACAGTGATCAGGTAGTGCTCCAGTAGGCACACAAATCTTATAGGAAATCTATCTTTTCCTATCTTATAAAGGATATATAATCTATGTCCTATAAACTATCCATTTATTTTTATAGGTTTCAAAATATATGTTTCAAAAGCACTTAATAAAGCAATAACTTAATGTTTTACTTACCATTCTCAAGATAATCGACTAACTCTCTCATTTCTTTCTTCAAAGTTTGGGTTATGACTATCTTGCCTTCAACGCTTTTCAAAGTCATTAAACCTATATATTCCTCCGTGATTATAATGAGGTTAAACGCCCTAATGAATGCTTTTAAAGCCAATAACTTAGCTTGCTTTAAGTCAATTTGATAACCGGATTTAATGACATTTTCTTGCATTATGAACTTTGCAATCTCAGAGTTCTGCCCAATAGCAGTATACATCCAAACAAAACTATTCCCTTTTGAATCGAATTGAAATAATTGATAATTAAAGCGCATATCGAAACCCATGTACGAAACGTGCACACCAAAAGGCCGGTAATTGCCATATTTCGCGTCGGTCTGTTTGATGGTGAATATTTGTTTTACCAACTCGTCACATGGCATACCTTCTATATAGACATGTTTATCCAAAGCAGATTGCATCGCATTGGCAAGTATGATGCTGTCATATCTCGTACCGGATATTCCACGTGCTATTTCACTGTAAGATATTATTTAGAGTTTCTGATGTGCATATAATTTAGACCAACCACTCACTCTTTTAGTAAAAACAACGTTCCTGCATGTTTAACTGCAGTCTTTTCCAACATTTCATCATTATAATTTTCCTCTGCCTTAGACGGCGAAATCTTCTTTATCGGCAAAGTCCATTCGTCTTCCTTATTATGGGAGGTTATTTATTTATTATTAGTTTACACATTTAAAAATGACTTGAATGTCTCTTTTTCATTAATAATAATGAAATGATACCCTGTTGGAGATTTAGAATACCGCAAAATGTTAGAAAAAATTGGAAATATATGTGAGCACAGAGTTAGCAACATTGCTGGGTTGTTATATACAGACGAAGTCATAATCATTTACACAACGAACACCTTTAATGCTCAGTTAGACGGTGGGTAACGTAAGAAATTAATTCGAAGCGAAATGTACAACCAACCAAATCTGCGTATTTGATAAGAACGAAATAAACAAAAACGGTGTACTTTGTTTATTTCGTTTCTATCAAACACACAAGTTTGGTTGGTTGTGCATTTCGCTTTGAATTAATTTCTTACGTTACCTACAGTCTAACTGAGCCTTTAGTCATATGGTGCAATGCGTTGCACCATATAGGTAAGAAGATGTTAATATCAAAACCAAAATAGTCTATATTACTTCAATGACCTTATCAAATCGTCTCTCCCATGCTTTGGAGTATATTAAATGGCCTCTACAGTTTTGGTATAATGTTTTATGGACAGATGAATCCGCGTTTCAATTTCATTGTGCGTTTGGTGAGCACTTCATATATTCACGACAACATTAAAAGTTGACAGATTTGGAAGCGATACGGTGATGTTTTGGAGATGTTCTCATACTATCGGTTTGGAGATTTAGTACCTATAGATGGCAAATTAAATCAGTTTGATTATATTGGTATTTTAAATTACTATGGTTTTATTTTAGAAAACATACCTATTAAGTTTTAAATTTAAAGGTCAAATAGAGATAAATGTATTCCTATCAATACCCTCTCCAACCAATAACTGGATTCAACAACTCGACTATGCTTCATGTCATAAATGATGGAGATCTAACAAATTTTCAAAAGAGTTAAATCATGTTGTTCTCCCTTGGCCTCCACGGAACCCTGAGCTTAATATCATTGAAAATGTTTGAGCAGTCATAAAACAGCAAAAGACTATTGACAAATATCGAAGACTATTTGATACCATAATATAAATAAATAAATGAAATTTGATCAAAATTAGCTCTAGAAGATGAAATTGATTCACGCAACAGGATTGAATTAATTTCGACTAGGTTGCAGGCAGTTATCCATAGGTTATTTAAAAGTTAAAAGTTAATAAATATATAATTAACTTTAAAAAGTTTAAAAGTTAATTATATAAAAATAAATGAGCAAATAAATATTTAAAAAAAATTCATTGAAAGTTAATTCGACTCAGCAGAATAACGTTTAGCAATACCCGCAGCTCGTCAAGGTAGGATCGAATCTCTCCCTTTTGTTAACTGTTAGTCTTATAGTAATCTAGCGATACTCGCCTGTCAATTTATTTTATTATTAATAAAAAAAAACTCGGTAAATGTTCGAATTTGTCAAAAAATTTATAACCACTTAGTAAATGAACAAGTCGCTGGAGTTATGTAAATTTTTCACGTTCAGTGGTATGATCAATCACGTTCAGTGGTTGCTGTGAATGTCACCACTGTAAGTATTTTAATTAACACATGCATTTTTGAATGATGTACCATTGGAACTGAAATATAATACTTCTGATATGAAATTCAACGTTGTCTTTACTTCATTTAGTGTTTCAATTAAGAACCGTGCAGTGGGTTGATGTGGTTTCTTGAGTTAGTGCTATTGTGCATTTTTAGTCTTTTGTGGCCGGGGGCTTATACCTGCCCCATGCTAAGCTTTAATTATACTGGAATTCATATCGTTATTTATCGTTTAACTGATGACGGACCGTTGGTCAGCATATCTTCCTGTGGGTCCTGAGGTTGACTTGAGATTCATTAGGGCGGGGTCGGGCAGCGTATCAATTTTTGTGAATAATTTTAGGGTTCTGTTCCTGATATATTTTTTCACTTAGTCGATTCTGGATCTCTGTGTATGTCTGTTGTTCTAATGTACCATGGAATCTTAAACAGTTTTCTTATAGCCAGTTTTTGTCTAGTCTATGTTGAAGCTATTTGTCTAGTCTTTGTTGAAGTGTACTACAGCACTTTTGCTCTCTATTAACTGCGAGGTATCTTCAAAACTCTTCTTTATGCCTTGAATGGATTATTGTTTATCATTTCATCAGACTAAGCAAAACCTGACCTTAGATCTGCATACCTCCCGGATGAGTCTGTAACCATTCTGAGATTCGATAACTGCTTAATGGCAGTATTTGAGGGTTTGCTGTATGTAATACATTTGTATAGTAATGCTGCCCAAAATATTTGAGTATATAGTAGCTTTCTATTTTTGAGGTTGTAGTGATTATTTTTGAACAGCGGCTTAAGAAGATGTAAAATTTTAGAGCAGCTGTTCCGTGTGCATTTTATGTGTTTATACAAATTGAACCGTTTCTCAAACGTGACCTCCAGATATTTTATGCTCTCCTCCCACCGTATCTCTGACGCTTACTCATAGAGGATGCTGCCTTCTCTTTCATGTTATAAATATGGCCTTGGTTTTGTCATTGATAATTTTAATCTTCCATTTCGGGAACTATTCCAACATGGGATCTTTATTTCCGTGTAAGGTGTTGCTTACATTCATGGCATTCCGGACAGAGTAGATCAAGCACGTGTGGTATGCGTAAAGCGCCATTGATTCGGGGCTTAAGATGGATGACTACCGTATATATATTAAATAATGTGGGTGACAGTGGCGATCCTAGAGGTACACCTGCTTCTATTATTTGGGCGGACAAAAGAGTGATGTTGATTTTAATTTGTATAGTCTGTTAGTTTTTAGTTTGATTTAGACTGGTTTGTATCACTTATGCTGTTCTGGCTAGTTAAATTTTCGTGGAGAAATCGTCCCTAAATCTGAATTGTTCGTCCGGACGGATATTTAGGGCGTTCACCACTGTTTTTAGCCTAGCCAGAATTACTCGTTTTGCCAGCTTGCCCAGAGATGGGATCGGGCTGATAGGATGCCAGTTCTGCGGGAATATGGGATTCTTGTCCGGTTTAGGAAACACTACAACCGAGGCCATCTTCCAGGTTTTTGGGAACTCGCCAAGCCTGACCAAGCAGTTGATGATGTTAACGATGCATTGGATAGCGTCTTCTGGGAAACATTTACGCAGGTATTTCTTGCTGATTTTGTCGTGTCCGGGTGTTGATCTAGTCTTTAGACTCAATATGATACAGTTAATCTCATCGCTACAGCACTCTGATATACATTAATGGGGCACATAGTGAATTCTCTTCTGTAATAATTCCTTGCTCCTTAGTATCATAATCATTATCAACATTTGACTGAAATTATAGCTCCAGAGTACCTGCAAAGACCTTGGCTTGGCTATGTCTGTGAGAGCCATGCCGCTCACTCCATGAATGGGCGGCACTGCCAACTTACGTTTAACCCTGAGGTACTTGTTTAAAGCCCAAAAGGTTTTATCGTCTGTATCAATACCTGGTAGGAATTCGTGCTATTTCTATTATTGTGCTTGCCAATTTTTTTCCTGATCTCGTCGGAGAAGCGATTGGGTTCTCTTCTGCTCATCGGGTCTCCAGTAATTTGGGCAAATTTTCGAATCGCATCCAAGGCCTCCTTAATCTTGATTGTGAGGTTTTGAATACAGACATCAACGTCCGCAGGAGTCACGCCCACTTCTTCCATGGTGGATTGAGTTAGTTCTAGATCAAGTTAACAATTTTTTGAAACTTTTTGGTACTGAGAGTTTTAAAGTCCCTGCAATGCCTTTAACTGTATACAGTTTTAAAGTCACTACATAGTTTGAAGATCCCTGAATTTTTGGTCGATTTCCGACAGTTTAAAAGTCACTAGTGCTTCGCAAGCAGTAGCTCCGACCCAGTACCTGTCCAAGTGTTTCACTTGTTCCGTGCTTGGCAAACTGTACCGCCCACTTGTGAGAGCCCCTGAGTTTCTTGATGCGATTTGACTTTTCGGAGTAACGCAGTTGTGACCGTACACGACGAGCTCCAATCGAATACTGGACAATGTTACCTGTTCCCAGGCAAAATGTTGACAAACCTTGAGTTCTTGACTGAACGGCACTGAAGGGCACTGACACATGAGATGGAACAGCTATTTGTCTACAGCTATTTTTGTGCTACTCTTGTTTACTTTGCCGTTTGCAGTTTTCTATTTCATCTGCAATGTAGTACTCAGCATGCATACTCAACTTTCTTTGATCGTCTCTTTAAGCAGTCTTAACATTCTTCTTACGGCGAATATTATGACAATTCCTGTTTCGGTGTTTCGTTGTTTTGTTTTGATTCCTATAAACGTGCTTTACCTTGTATTCGGTTGTTGGTATTTCTTATAATTTATTTTATTTATTATAATAATAAATAATGTGTTCAGAGAAAATATAAATATAATTAATAAATAAATAATGTTATTATTATTATATATTAAGTATTATATCAATTTCAATTTCAATGTAATTGCAGATATATTGCGAGTGCATGTAGCAATTAGTTTCATGCGGGGTTGGGTTTTGATAGTAGTTTATAATATATATGATAAATATTTATTAAATAAACTTTATTTTAGATATCTTCAACATTTGTTGCCACTAAGTATAATATTAGGTGTTTGGGATGATAGCAGTTGTGACGTGTGTAAAAATAGATAAAACTGTGTTGTGATGTTAAGTTTTTAGTTCGTTAAAATGTTTGTAGTTTAGTTCATGTCGTACAAATTGACATTTCTAATGTTTATTTATGTAGGCGGAAACATGATGCAAATTTCCGCCTTTAAAGTAGATAGTCACAATTATTTATTTAATAGTAATATAAATGATTACATAAACTTACGCTCTGCCATGAACTACCGCTTATGGAACCATGCGGAGTTGAACAAAGAATGTTTTGGTTTTTAAAGAAAATCTGATATTCACTCAAATCGGAAGCATCTGGATCAAATTTCGCAGCTTTTTGAAAATATTCTGAAAAGTCACTAATTTTAATGCGGCGTAAAGCTTCGCAGAATTCTTCCTCGTCTTCTGGTTCCACGTCCCTTCAAATAAATTATAGTTTGGTAGTTATATAAACTTAAAAATCATTGCAACTTACATGAAAAGAGGATCTTCGCTGAATAATTGAAAACATATGGGCCTTCTCTTTTCGAAAAAAAAGAACTCTCCGTCTCTCATTGCAGCAAGTTTATCATTTACACGGCGTTGCGACTTCGTGAGACTAATTACATCTACAATATATTTTATGAATGTTATAATATATTCTTATTGGCTTGATTATGATTTTTTGGACGCTGGTATTTGACAACGAATTAATGAAAATGCAGTATTCAGAGCAACTATTTCAGCTACACTAACATATGTGTATTTCTCATGTGTATTAAAGTGACAGATGGCGTCATCTGTTGGTGTTTGTTTTCTTATTGAAAAATGTCGCAGTTTACAGCAGATCTAATATAATATGCAGGTTGTGATTGAACATTTTTTAGGTGGTCTACATTTTTCTATGATTACTTTGGCATTCCACTAGAAAATTTGTTTTTCTTCTTCATAAATGAATCCATACTCTTAAGCAGTTTAAGTTTCCATTGCAATTAACCCCAGAGGCTAAACTTTAAAAATTTTGGAAAAAAGTGGGTTCGTAAAGATCAGCCTGACATGGACTTTATTAGAGTCAACTAATATATTTTCTTACATTGCTGATTAGCCCCAACCACAGCATATATATATATATACATAAATTTTCAGATATTAGTATATATATATAGTATTTATTTTAAATACAATTATAGACTAATTAGTATTCGTCTATAATTGTTAATCAGGCTTTACTACCCATGATGCAATTGCACAGTGATGCAATTGCACAGTGATCAGGTAGTGCTCCAGTAGGCACACAAATCTTATAGGAAATCTATATTTTCCTGTTTTATATAGCACATATAATCTATGTCCTATAAACTATCCATTTATTTTTATAGGTTTCAAAATATATGTTTCAAAAGCACTTAATAAACAATAAAATTAGGTGCTTCATAGCAATACTTCATAGCAATAACTTAATGTTTTACTTACCATTCTCAAGATAATCGACTAACTCTCTCATTTCTTCCTTCAAAGTTTGGGTTACAATAATCTCGCCTTCAACGCTCTTCAAAGTCATTAAATCTATATACTCCTCCGTGATTATAATGAGGTTAAAGGCCCTAATGAATGCTTTTAAAGCCAATAATTTAGCTTGCTTTAAGTCAATTTGATAACCGGATTTAATGACATTTTCTCGCATTATGAACTTTGCGGTCTCAGAGTTCTGCCCAATAGCAGTATACATCCAAATATAACTATTGCCTTTTGAATCGAATTCAAATAATTCATAATAAAAGCGCATATCGGAACCCATGTACGAAACGTGCACACCAAAAGGCCGGTAATTGCCATATTTCGCGTCAGTCTGTTTGATGGTGAATATTTGTTTTACCAACTCGTCACATGGCATACCTTTTATATAGTCATGTTTATCCAAAGCAGATTGCATCGTATTGACAAGTATGATGGTGTCAGAACTCGTACCGGATATTCCACGTGCTATTTCACTGTAAGATATTATTTAGAGTTTCTGATGTGCATATAATTTAGACCAACCACTCACTCTTTTAGTAAAAACAACGTTCCTGCATGTTTAACTGCAGTCTTTTCCAACATTTCATCATTATAATTTTCCTCTGCCTTAGACGGCGAAATCTTCTTTATCGGCGAAGTATATTCGTCTTCCTTATTATGGGAATTTATTTATTTATTATTAGTTTACACATTTAAAAACGACTTGAATGTCTCTTTTTCATTAATAATAAGCATGAAATATACAAACCATTGTTTTTAAGTACTTGTAATGATATACCCTGTTCGAGATTTAGAATAACACTAAATGTTAAAAAAAATTGGAAATATATGTGAGCACAAAGTTAGCAACGTTGCTGGGAAAAACAGAGTTGTTATATACAGTCGTAGTCATAATCATATGAACATGATACAAACGATGCTACATATCTGCACACCAAGTATAAGTTCAAGTATGCACTTTACTATACACTTTGAAACAAGGTACGCATACTTCATTTTGATTTATTTTTTACTGGGTTCATAACAATAGCGGAGCAAATACAGAGTGCAAAACAGTAATCAAAACTGAAGGAGTTGATATGATGATAATGACAACATGTTATTTATTTCATTATTTTATTATATGAAGATTTCATGTTTCTTAGAATTAAACATAATTTCTTATTCTAATTCTTAAAACTAAAATTATTTTTAATTTAATTCTTTAAAATGTATTTTAGTATTTATATTTACAAAATAATTTTTTATATATATAAACTTCCTTAAAAATTGTTTGTAGTACTTTTTTTCAAATTTGTTTTTTTTAAAGAAAATAAATGTCTAGTAATTTTTCAATTATTTTTCAATCTTTTTCCGCGATCTTTACTCGTCCGATGCTCACCAAAATTCTTAAATTATGAGAAGTTTGCAGATTTCGATATATACGAGCAGACATGTGTTCAGACTTAACAGACTTAAAGTTTTAATTTTACCGCATACATATCTCAGACCAAAATTTGGTATGCCTACTTAAATATACACGGTGCGATTTGGTAGAACGCACACCTTGTCTGCAAACATGTAGCACCGTCTATATCCTGGTTTCCACAACGAACACCTTTGTGCATATTCAACTAAACCAACTTTTGTTGGTAATGTTGGAGGTGAGTTACAAAAAGAATTTTTGTGACCGTTCGGCTGTGGAAAAAGTGGAAAGATAAGGATTTATACGACAAAAATAGAAGCAAATGCACAAGTATTTACACCCATTTTTTTTTGGTAAAAGAAAAGTTGTACAAAATTTTACGTTAAACGGTGTTAAATGAAGCTAAACAAAGCTACAAAATTTTTAACATTTTAGTTACTAACATCCCTGCATAGCACAGCAACGTTATTAACTTGGCATTAACCCTGTTATAAGTAAAGTAATATGGTATTTACACTGGCCTCAAATGGCTCATTTTGATCAAAAATCAGAAATGAGAAGCAAATGACTCATTTTTGCATATAAAATCTTAAGCGCTCATTGTATCTCATTCTGTATAAATGAGTTCCAACAGGGTAAGAATGAGTTCGAAATATGTACCAATTACAAATGAATACATTGAACATATCCTAAATAAAAGCTTTTCATGGCATTTTGACAGTGTAAGAAAGCTGTTTTTGACATATTTGCAAAAAAAGGGGGTTGGTGGTTGGATTTCCTTGTAAACGATGCACCTCTTTTTGCTTCTTTTCCTTCCCAAAAATAAATTAATCGGAGCTAAAAAAAAGTTTTCAGTTTATATTGTAAGGTTTGAAGGTATACTTAACTATCATTCAACATATTTTTGGCACACGTCAAATATCAAATCAACGACAAGTTGAAAAATCAGCTGTTTGAAATGACAATGAATGAATTAGAACGAATGTAAACACTTTCAAATGTCTCAAATAGAATGAGCCATTTGCAGCCAGTGTAAATGCCATATAATAATGATTTACGCACAAAAACGTCCAGTTTCTTTAAAATTAGTTAATAGCCGATAGCAGATTCTAACTTCCAGATAAAGTACATATCATATATAAAGTACAACACTAAACTGAAAACGTTAAAAAAATCACAAATGAAAAAATTCTAATGATAAAAGATTATTATTTAATAACTGCAATTTCCAAATGAATTCTGCATTTGATAGTAAACAAATGCATTTTTAAGATAACTCAGAAACTTCTCTGACAATCAGAATGCGTTAATCAAATTTATTTAATCAGGAAAAGGAATCTTGATCAATTCTAACCATCTTGGTACTATCAGTCTCAAACGCTAAGCATTGTGGCTATGGATTTTCTTTAATTCTTTAATAGTTTAATTTATTTAATAGTGTTCCATCCTTGGCACCGGTTGTAAATGTGTTCCGGAATGTGTACCGAAAGAAAAATGGAACAACGTAAATAAGGAAACCTTTCGATTAATGTCTGCGCTCTTTACATTTGTGAATAAGTTTATAAGTGCGTTGGCGTTTAGAACCAGCGTCAGCATGTAACTTGTTACGATTGATCATGCAACCTGTTCTACTGATCGTACTATTATATTCAGTGATCAATGGATTCTTAATAGTATCTTCAATACTGTAATTGGGTTGTTTTTGGTAACTGGAATTTTCACCTTCAATAAGTTGACGTATATAGGTCGGGTGACATTCATCTGTTTCATAAAGATAACGCAATCTGTCATCAATGTTTTTCTTCTTTGCTTCGCCGTCAAAATCTAATACCATCTTCTCAATGCTCGGTCTAGCTGTCTCTTCTGGGATGCCATAGTAATGTTGATAGGTTGTCATTGATGGAAACGTAGGTAGCTTATCTTGTTCTGAATATTTTTTAAAATTTTTTTCTAGCGCTACTTCTTCAAAATCTGCATGAAGTTCAGGAAATGAAACTTTTAACATTTTGTTTAATTCCTTTGGATGTTTATCGCAACCAATATCGACGTGTATATCAGAGAAACGATACTGAGTTGGAGTTTTGGAACTACAAGTTATAGCGCCTTTATGCCTTTTGAGGAAATCCTTAGTTACAGAGGCTGGATTGACGAAATCTGTGCTATAGATTGAGCTAAGCATATTGAAAATAAATAATTGCCACTATTAAAATTTTGAATAACGAAAAATCTTGTGTCTGCACTAAGAATTTGGTTTCATTTCAAATGCGCAATTGCATAATGCAACAATCGCTTAAAAAATTCACAATAAATTATTAATTAGAAGAACATTTTTTTTAAACCTAATGACTTAAATTAAAAAACATATTACATAAATATTGTATATTTAAATAGATTTTATTTTGACAAGTAAGTGGAGTGGAGTGGTTTTTGTGTTGTAATACCATATACAGATTACAAACAAATCGGACAATCATTATTATAAGTCTTGAGTACTCCTATTTATCAAGCTATCATTAGAGAACAGTCTGGGAGTATGGATAAAAAACAGTGGTACACCAACAGCATTAAAGTTGAAGGAATATTAATTGAATTTTACGATTTGTTGGAAGAAAAACTAATGGCACCTTTAGTCAATAACAGTTATTTTTGGCGACACTTTCTTTTTGCCAGTTGTTCTTAATTCATATTCTTCATATGTGCTTATTCTCTTTTAAGATCACCTATTTAACTTAATAGAAAAATATCTTTTTGATCAGTCTTCAAGCATCCCTACAGTATGGTCAGTCCATTTCAATGACATACGTAAATACTTTTAATTGAAACTAGAAATTCTGGTTCTTGTTTGACAAAGTTTTTCTTATTTTTCTTTGATTTGTGGCAATTACGTCAGTGATTACCAAATTAATAAATAAATCTTACAGCGGGGCATCGATATATTTATTTTTTTTTTTTATACAACTATTGAAAATACTAGAGGTATGCACTTTGTCTTGCAAAATGACTGTAAAGTGCACCAAATGCACAAATTGCGCGAGCTTGCAGTGAACAATAATACACGCACAAAGTTTCTTGCAATTGCTTGCAATCTTGCTATAGCTATTTTGCACTTTCTTCACATTTCGGAAATGAGAACTACTAAAAAAGTAAATCAAATTTGTATGATTTGGCTGTGATATATATCTAGTTCTTATTTATATAAAAATTTATAATTAACATATAGTAATCATATGGTAGTGTGTTAAAAAAACTTTTAAATTCCTGGAGTTGGAAGTCCCGTGATTTCATTAATAGCCATTTTGTGCAGAAAGTCATGTGCTCGTCAAAATCAAAATTATTGTTAATTTCTCTGCAAATCGAAAAATTCAGATTAGTGAAAAACAAAATATCGGTCATAAAAGGAGCGTGATAAAGACGTGACAAATCTTCATTCGACTTTTTGTTAGGCAATGCCAATAATGATAGATGTCTAATCGAGTATATAACTATGAAAGCCTGAAACTATCCACCCTTTAAAGATATTCTTAGATAAAACATTTGAATATAGCTTTAGTAAAAGGAAATGCTTGAAAATGCGTACCTATCCCAGTAAAAAATAATTAAGTTATAAATCTGGAACAACAGCCTAGGATTGAAAACAGGTAGATAAGTTCAAAATAGAGAAAATAGAGGCAGACAAAAATGTCAATAGAACTAAGTCGTTTTATAAAGGTGTTGCGAACGGTCAAAATGCATATCAACCCAGAATAAATACATGCAAAAATAAAGATGGCAATAACATATATGAAGAACCTGAAATCTTGAATACATGGAAAGAATATTCCGAAGGTCTCCTAAATTGCGCGGACAATGATGAGGATGTACGTTTTTCCGTACGAGAAAGAACTTAGATATGACAAAGTAGTAAGCACTATTAGAAGTCTTAAAAAACATAAAGATCCTGGCATAGGCAATATAAACGCCGAGATATTAAAACATGGGGGTGATAGACTGCATCATTTATCGTATACCATAACACGAAAGGTGTGGAATGAAAAAAAATGTCTGCAAAATGGACCATCAGTTCTCTCTGCCCCATTTATAAAATGTAGCCGAGAAATGTATGTAGCACAAAATTGATATGCATTGCCTTTTCATTGACTTTCAACAAGGATTCGATGGCGTTAATCGAAGAAGAATTCAAAAGCTTCTCATGATGCAAGTCATATCGGAAAACATTATAAGATTAATCCTGATGACATTAGAAAATACAAAAGCGTGCGTGAAGATTCAAAACAACAAATCAGATGCAGTTAGAATAAACACAGGACTAAGAAAAGGGAGTCCTTGTTGGTTATTGTCTTTAACATGGTATCGAATGTCGATGAAATTCACCATAAAAATACAAACATAGATAAATCTACGCAATTGCCTGGTTATGCTGATGACTTAGGTT